TTTAACCGCGGCGGGGACAGGTAAGTGATGAATTTCCCGCGGAGGGAACGCGGTTTACCTATCTACCTGGCTAAATACCGCGTTGTGATTATACCGCGGCGGGGACGCGGGAAATACGGGATCCGCGTTGCCTGTACTGTACTTATTCAGCCAATCAAATGCATCTATTTCTCGCGAAGAATCGATTCTTCATGGTGAAGAATTCTTCTATTTCTGAAATATTTAACGGTGTCTGATTGGTTCAGTTGACAGTTATATGGGTGTGTCTTCATTGGTTTTTGTTTAGCACACAAAAAGAAACTATTCAAAGCCACGTGCTGTTTACAATGATATCAAAACTTTCTAGACCTTGCTACACTTTTTTTCCACTGTAATCTTTTGCCGCCTTTCTGAATATTATTTTTTTTTACACATTTCGGTACATACAGAAAATACAACCATCGTCATGTATATAAGAGATGAACCTTGTCTTTGAATACAGATTTAAGTCACAATTTTCATCAAATTTTTATTTGACTCTAGACAGCGATACCTACTCCTGCTGACTAGGGTCTTGTCATCTTAACACAATCATTTTTCAAAAATATAGATTCTTGTTACAAGGATATTCATTAGTTCAGTAGCTTTAATATCTTCCCCATACCATTTCCCCATTAAATCACTTGCATAGCATCGTTTTTTTTTTAATACCAATTTCTTCCAGTTCCATTTTCCCCAAAACTACAAAACTACATTACCTTCATATTCATATACTGTAGTAAAAAGTGGCAGGGGGGTCAGCCTTTCAATGAACATTTCGCTAGGAAAAGTTATGTCTGGACCCCCCCCTCCCCCCCCCCCCCGTTGCTACGTGCCTGAATCAAGCTATTTCATATAATCCCGTGCTAACCTGAATTGGTTGGGAGTCCATTATGAAACTGCGTGTGTTCGATATTGATTGCGTGCTCGATATGTACAACGAGCGGTCAAGTTGAGCCTTATATATGACACAGCCGTGGGAGGAGTTTATTTTTAATCCATTCATTTGATTGGCTGAGGTTCTGTTCTAAGTCAGTAAGATCATATGAAGAGAAATCTTCGTCACGAAGAATGGGCTCCGCTTCGCTCCGCCCATTCTTCGTGACGAAGATTTCTCTTCATATGATCTTACTATTACATAAACCCGTCTGACGGTGCCTATTTATGAGAAGTGTTCAACTTTAACAAGACCGTTGTGACATTATTCAACTGGCTATGGTAAAACTGTGAAAAATCATCAGGGAAAAATGTTCCCTTAATAAATTTTGCTTCGGATGGACTTGTTACCGCTTTGCTTTTATATATTCATTCGTACGATGAAAGGAATAACCCTCAAGATGAAATTCTTATGAAATACCTCTTAATACACTAGTAATGATATATACTATCCAAGGCACTTTATGGAATTTAAGAATTTACTGTTTTCATAAAAGTAATAAAGTGTAAATTAAAGTCAGTATATGCACTTCCATGGCAGCGTTTTTACCTGCAACACTGTATGACAGTCACGTGATCAGGGTTATGTGAGCTGGCTATAACGAAATTTTAAAGGACATTTTTCACTAGCCATCAGCCCTGCATGTGTAGCTGATTTTACAGCGACTTTCCAAAATTAACGTAGCTAATTTGAATACATCTATTTGAAGAATAGACTGGTTCTTCCAATGAAACTGTATAATCCGTACATGTAAGTCCTGTGTTACAGTTGGTGATGGTACGATTAAGTGTTTGTTGTTTTACACTTCATTCCAGATTTTTAACTCATGTAGAGACTAATGTAAGGTCAGTCACGACCCCCCACCCCCCACCACGGAACGAGACCTTTAAAGTTACGAAAATCTCTGTAGGATCTAATGCAGCTTTGCAGAGTTAATCTATAACAATTAGTTAAACATGTATATAACGATTTAAAGCACACAGGCTGCACAGAAAGCTTTGAAAACGAAGCTGAATTGTTAACAAATATGACTGATACCTGTAGCTCGAGATGTTCTCGTTCTCGTTAAATTTCTTCACATTTCTTTTAACAACCAAACATCTTTTCATCATTTTCGCCCCGTTTCATCCACCTTTAAGGTCAAGATCTAGTAAATAAAAGGTGCCTACAGATTTATCAAATTTGAGAAATAAATTCTTTTATTGATGCTTTACAACTTTAGCTTTGTCAAATAAGGTGTTTCGGGGCATAATTTGTAGGTAAACAAGATGAAAAACTGTATTTTAAACTGTCATTTTCAATGCAAAATTAAGAAAACCAGTCATGAATATGGGAGTTTTTATTATATTCGACAAAGGAAATGTATCCAGATTGCATACAGTCTCTCATAAAACGGTTATTTGTTTGTTCATGGCCTCTTATTTAAAATTAAAATAAAATTCAATATAGGTATCCGGTGTACTTTTCATGATTTAAAATTGAATGTCAGGAAAATACCCTATTTTCTACATAATTCTGCTAAAGCAGTAAAGTACGGGAAAAAAAGAAAGTTGAAATTGATTATGACGTCATAATGAATCTAGCACCAAAAAATTAGTCTAAAGTCATTTACTAGATCTTGACCTTAAAACATCTTGTGTATTTTTCTTATTTTAGAAATGTTGCCCGCATGGTGCAGTGGTTAAAGCGTCAGTCGCGAAGCAAGGAGTTGATTTTTACGTAGCAGGTTTATTTTCCACTGTTTGCCGGGGAGACTGGTCTTTCGGATGAGACCGTATACAAGTCGTAGGATGAGACCGTATACAAGTCGTAGATGCTTGCACGAAAAAGATCCCTCATTGATAAATGGCCCTCAGTGCCGAGTACAGGACGAAATGTGTAGGTTTCCACCGACAATTGTTGCGTCTTCATATCAGTGAGACATTCTCTCGATAGGCACGCTAAACAACACACAATCAATCAATCTTATTTTCTTAGGTATTGTTAAAATTGGTTTAATACATAATTTTTTTCTTTATCAGATTGTGGGATCCCTGTAGAAATAATTGAAAATACCAAATGGAATGTACAGGAATGGGAAGGTATAGGAATACAAAAACGAATGCATATTAAATGCTTAGATTCCTTCGTACAGCGAGGATCCGGAATGATCGTGTGCCATAAAAATGGGACCTGGTTAACAGACTTGGTTTGTGAAGGTTCGGAAAAACACATTATTATTTTACTATTTCTTTTTTATGCCCCGCCATGAATATGGCCTGGGCATATATTATTTGTCATGTCGACCGTCTCCCGGCCTTCTGTCCTTCCGTCACACTTCGCATTTAGCTAAGATCAAACCTCAGTTTCAAAGATATATTAATCAAACTTCATATGCTGATAGATATTGGTGAGATTTAAGCAACTGCATCGACATTTTTTTTACCTTGACCGCAGTTTTCTTAAATCAGTGTTTTATCAGAAGAGCGATTCAAGGCATTTGGGCCTCTTGTTTCTGTTCCTAAAGTGGAGGATTTCTTTTAAACACATTCGTATGTGATTAAATTTCAGCATTTTCCCGAGAAGAACCAACAAAGCCTATAATACACAAGGGAAGCAATAAGATTAATATTCTGTAAACACGCAATATTAAGGGAGGAATAATACTAGTACTATATGATTTCATTCTACAACTGTAACGGTATATTAAAAGGATTTCTGTTAATGTATAATATCGTGAGTTGAGTTTTCAATGGCCAATCAAAAATGGAAAGTAGATATCCCAAGTTTTAAAGCAATCTGGCACAATTAAATATTTTGAATAATATTGGAAGCGCCGAAAACCTTTCCTGTTCTATAGAAGATGTACCCTTAATATTCGTATGTTCAACTCCTGCTAATACTTCTGGACTGAATAATGCACCAATAAAGACGGAGAATGAAAATTTCAATGTGTCAGCGGCAGGCGTTGGCACGATAAAGATCCCTCACTGCTCAATGGCCCTGAGTGCCGAGTAAAGGTCAAAATTTGAAGCCCTTCACCGGCATATGGTGACGTCTCCATATGAGTGAAAAATTCTCGAGAGGGACGTTAAACAATATACAATCAATCAATCAATCAAACTACAGAACACAAGCATTTCTAATGCAAGAACTGCTATAACGATAGTATTGTTCGCCCACCTTCCTCCAAGTCGATTTTCAGAAGGTAACCGATTCGATCAATTTAAAATATTTCTTAAAGATAATTATATGGATTTTAATAAAAAAAACTACTTATTTGTAAAAAGAAAAGACATAACTCTAAAATTTTGGTACAACTTGTGTTCTTCACTACAGAAATCAACAAAAAATATTTTAAAACACCCCCCCCTTATGACACAAATTAAAAAAAAACTGGCATGTAATATTGACTGTAAGTTCACAAATTCATACCTAAGCTTTTTGTGTGTCACGGGGATTGAGGCATATGTTTATTGACAAAAAATGCGTATTTTCCACCAATTTCAAAGCGATTTACAAATGTAACATATTTATTAATATAGCTGGAGTTGGGTAAAATTTAATATCTAGAGCCGGTAGACAATTCATCAATTACTATTGAACTATTCTTTGCATTTCAAAGAATTTATGGTCAAATTACCATTTAGATTGAATTAAATGGTTGCAAAATGTAGGCGGGAATCGAGAGTTAGCGTGCATATTTCTTTAAGAAAGCTATGCAAGACTTTCTTAATTACATTAAGCTTTAAATTACAGATGAAGAGGGAAAAAAGATTTTAAAGGTCCTCCTTTTTCAAACTTGCAGTATATTTCGAGAATCTGTACATGTATTGTTTTCTGATTTAGTTCCTGCTGCTGATTGTAAGGAACTCCGTGAGAATGGTCACACTGATTCCGGTGTATACGAGATTTACCTTATGTGCTGATTCCCTTATTCAGTCCCAGCCTACTGTGACATGGAAACAATGGGAGGAGGCTGGACAGTATTTATATTTATGAATTAAGCCTTAAAATTTGCAAAAAAGGAAATGTTTATTAGAATCTCTCATTCTGTCGTACAATTGATAGGGGACAAAGAAACTTACTATCTGAATCTTTATCACTTTTCACATATATATTTTTGTCATTATAAAAACTGGATGAATAAATAGATGAATTTATTTTATTATTGATGTATTAATTTTTGTAAGGTAATACAAAAACGAGTAGATGGATCCCTGAGCTTTTACCAGAACTGGACGTGGTACAAGACAGGTTTCGGTACACCGGAAGAGAATGATTGGATTGGTAAATATAAATCTTCTTAAAACTGGACCATTATGATAAATTCATGTTTGACAAATGATTTATTCAGAAACATATAATTTAACAAAGAAAATTAAGATTTGATTTTAACACAAGGTAATACATGTACATGTATGTACATGTCAGTTCTCATCAATAGTTCCTAAAACAAATGAATTGGACAAGAATTGATATGTGCAGGAAAACGGAACATCTTGCTAAAATGCATTACAATGCTTGTGTTGTGTCCTCCTTTATGGTCTATGAAAAAATAAATATTCTCGAGGGCAAGAGAAAGAATTAATGTTCTGTGAACATGATGAATTACCATGAACGGTCAGCTTATTAGTTGAAATACATAAAGAATGTAATCTGATTTCGGGGAACATTTCTTAAAAACAATGTGTATTGCAATACACCTATTAATCGTTATACAGGAAATGACGTAATTCATCAGTTGACAAGGGGAAACAACTCGTCTCTTTATGTCTCCATCACTCTCCAGAATGGTACAAGTCTGTACGAGTTGTACGGAAAATTCGCCATTTCTGACGAATCAGAGAAGTATAAACTATTTCTGGCAGGACCTGCACAGGGAACCTTAGGTAGGTGACAGATAGAATGTTACACAGAGTGAGATAAATTGTGAAGTTTATCACATTAAAGCTGATAAAACTCTTAAAAAGGCATCATTTTTCACCTTTGTACGACCTACTACGTTCCTGTACGCCTTTGTCCGCGATATTTCTTCCATTCCTCCGTATTTATTTGAAAATGTTTGGCAACATGTACCTGCTATACAACGCCTGGTACATGTTTTCATTTGAGTGATTTTATAGCCTTGCTTTCGACATGTACATGTCTCCGATAGCATATTTGTAGAAGTCTATAAACTGACCAAATACATGTTTGAAAAGTGAAAAATTCAATAAAAATTTTAACTAGAACTATACCGAAAAGTATATTATTTTGAATGCATTTGCTGCAATATACAAACCAGAAGTCTCTGTCGAGACTGTAGCTCTACTGGTTTGTACTTATCAAAAACCATTGCACTATTTTATGTATCTTTGTGTAGTCTACTTGTGTGCCAACTTATTTTGT